TACTCTGATTCTTTTAGTACTCAATAATTCCAACTTCTTGAATCACTACTGCAAGGGGTTTTAAAAAATGTGCTGTTACCATATAATTCACCAGAATAGCTGATTATTTTTTCAAATGGATCAACAGCTAACAAAGCAATGCAGTTGGAAAGACAAATATCTCTTGGAATTGAAGAAACTTATGTACTACTGATTCAAATTTACAGTCTATCCTTAGCTTCAAACAGCTTAAAGCTTTGCAATTGGAGACATTGTATTGGAACCAACATAGTTCATGTACTATTAATTCAAACAGTAACTTCATGGAACACAGCAAGGAGATTGGAGACAAATGTACTGGAACCAACATAATACTACAGATTCAAATTAGTAGCTTCAAACAGATTAGCAAATTTGGAACTAAAATATGAACAAATGTATTTGGAACCAAAAGACTTAGTTCATGATTAAAATAATTAACTTCATTGTACTACTAGATTCAAATTTGAAGCATAGTCATGCTTAAAATTTACTATCACACCAGAAAAATTGTTTGAAACAACTGAATCATGTTAGAAACTTGCACTCTATTTGCATAGTACTACAGATTCAAATTGTCTGAATTGTATTTCAATGCACACACACTTAACTCAGATTTTCTGAAACAACCATGGCTAACTTCACCCTTATTACAGCTGTTGTTTTCCTTTCTTAGAATTGTTTTAATATTGAACAAACTCATCTCAGTGTTCATTAAACTTTCATTAAGTTTGTAACAAGATCTTGGCACTCATTTAAATGGAAGATGCTAATCCAGGAGAATCTGATACACTGAGCTGACAATGGAAAGCCTTCTTTGTGATGTAGCTAGTTGCTCTTTAATAGATATCCAAAATCTCAACTGATCACTCTCAATAAACCAGAATCTTCTTTGTTTGAATAGTCTCTCTAATACTTATACACTATTGCTGATTCATTTGTTCTAGTGAGGTTCTCTTTTCTGAAAGAGGGATGATATATCTCTAACAAATGACTTTGCCACTTCTTCTGTACTCAGTGATTCCAGAGTCATCTTCATACATGCTGCATTGAACTGCTTCTACTATAGAAGGTTTGTAGTTCTGGATATTTTCTGTTACCATATAATTCAAAGACTATAATTGCCACAACTTGGTGAAGAGGTAGCACCAAAGATATGCACCCTCATCTGGGATTATTTTTGGGTCAAATTTTATGTTCTGATTTACCCACCATAGAGAACAGAGGAAGTCTCTATCAACCTCTGGAACACAGACTTGATAGAACATAGCCAAGGCATCTCCCTGAACAGCAATGATCTCTTGACAAAATTGAAGAAGTGCCCTAAATAAACTATCCTGTACTTTTAAGGATATTCTTGTTCAGAAATGAACCCATATATTTTGCTGAAAAATATTTACTAATTTTCCTCATTTTTCAAACATTCCCTGACTGTTCCTATTGCCTTTGCAAAATTTTGCAAGTTAATCATTAGGATGCAAAATCCATGCTTTAATCTTCATCTTTTTCCAAGCAGAGAAGTAATCTTGAAAATGAAATTCCACCTTTAAATGTTGCCACATCTAAAGAAGACTTTCCTTTGACTTGTGGATCATTTGTGGGTTTCTGTTCCTTCACATCAAGTAGTTCTTGTTCTATTCATTCATTTTGATCCTTTCAAAGAAATCTGGCCCATTAAACCAAAGGGTGTGACTCGAAAACTTGTAAATTCTTTTAATTCCTTGAGAAGCACAGCAAGATTGTCATTGGAACAGCATAGTACTGCTGACTTAAATTAGTAACTTCATGAATCACAGCTAGGCTATTGAAAAATGAATTGGAACCAAAATAGTAATTCTGATTCAAATTAGTATCTTCAAGCTAAACATAGGACTTTAGGACATAGGACTACCACTACTAATCAAAATTATAAGTTTCACGGATCACAGCAAGGAGATTGGACACAAATATATTGGAACGAACATTATAAGTACTACAAATTCAAATTAGTAACTTTATGGATCACAGCAAGGTATTGGAGACAGATGAACTGGAACCAATATAGTACTACTGATTCAAATTAGCAGCTTAACAGCTCAAAGCAATGCAATTGAAGACAAATGTATTGGAACAACATTTTACTACCGATTCAGCTTCACAGATTAAAGCAAGGGGATTGGAGATAAATGTACTGGAACCATCATAGTACTACTGATTCAAATTGAAAGCTTCATGCATTACAGCAAGGGGATTTGAGACAAATGTTTGGAATTGCACACTTTTGTTGTCTATGTATTTCAATGCACTCACGCTTTGAGTGATCCAGCTTTTCTGAAACAACCATGGCTAACTTCACCCTTATTACAGCTGCTGTTTTTCATACTTTGGAAATGTTATAGTCTTCAGGGAACTTCTTGTATTCTCCCAATTTTTGGTCACACTCTTTGACTTGTTCTTCAATGATTTCCTCATCCCAGTGCACTCAAAACCTACATTAAGTTTGTATCAAGATCTTGCCACTCTTTTAATGGAAGATGCTAATCCAAGAAGATCATACACTGAGCTTACAATGGAAAGAATTCCTTGTCATGTAGGTTGTTGCTCTTTGATAGATATTCAAAATCTCAACTGATCACCCCCAGTAAACCAGAATCTTGTTTTGGAATAGTCTTTCTAATACTTGTTCACTATTGCTGATCCATTTGTTCAAGAGAAAGTCTCCAGTCTCCATTCTGGCAGAGGGATGATATGTCTCACAAATAACTATGCCTCTTCTTCTCTACTCAGGAATGCCAGAAAGTCATTTACATACATGCTTCTTTGAGCTGCTTCTACCATAGATGGTTTGTAGTTCTAAATGTATTCTTTTACACATATGATTTAAAGTAGAAAGTGTAATTGCAACAACTTGGTGAAGAAATAGCACCAAATATTTGTATCTTCATTTGGAAGAAACTTGGGTTGGACTCTAGGTTCTGATTTCCCATCAATGAAAACATTGAAAGTTTTTTAAGTCCTCTGGAGCAAACACTTGATAGAATATAGCTTCAGTGTCTCAATGAATGGCAAAGATCTCTTGATGAAATTGGAGAAGTAACCCCCCCCCCCCCCCCCCCCCCCAATCAAACTATTATTTAGATTTGGTCCATGAAGGAGGCCATTGCTCAGACAAACACCTTAAAAGTTGTTGGAATAGTACAAATGTGTTCTCAGCTTTCCTATGGTGATAAACTCCATGATGAGGAATATACCATACTTGCCCATCATTTCTACCAAGCCTGTCTTTTTGATCTGGTTCAACAAAACTCTTTTTAAATAGCTTCCTCATAAAATCAAGCTAACTTAAACCTTCTTATCTTGTTCCAACTTCTTTAACCCTTTCAGCCTTTGATAAAGTTTGCAAAAAGTTGTTTGGCATCTTAATGAAAGTTTTTCAGAAAGGAAGAGCTACAGGATAGTGACCTTCATTGTAAACAAATTGATTCTTTTACTTGACTCAAGAACTCTTCATTTTCAACAGAATTTTCTATTCTGTCATCTATTTTTTTGTGCTGAAAGAAACACTACTTCCACAAGAAATGTAAAAAGATATATGAACTGTCCTTCATTTTCACATGAATTGGAATTATTGCCATGACATGGGAAACATTGTTACGTTGTATTCTGGGCCCAGTGTCTGTATGTAGAGGTACAGTAGAACATGGTCTTTTGTCACTGTTTAGATTGCCTATCAATGATATTGTCTCTGTCCTTTCCCTGTCTCATTATAGAGTAAAGTTGGCTGTTTTCTTCCGCAGATAGAACAGGAAAGTCTTGATGGACATGACCATTCCTCAAACAACAAAAGCACAGTTCACAGCTTTGGATAAAGTCATGGCTTTTTGGTAAACTAATTTCAAGGAATGTCCAACAGTCACTGAGAAGATGAGAAGTGTTTCCACAATAAGTACATTTCGCACTTGAGTCTGGTGATCTAAATGTTTCATTCATAATACTGGTACCAGGTGCCCCTACAGTTTTTTTTCTGCACTGGTTTGCAAGGTGAAAAGGTGAAAATATTTCTGTATACAGCATAGTTGCTTTGTCAGGACTCAATTACTGAGGTGTTTCCATAAGGTTGGTCATCGAATCTCTTGGTTTCATTCTTTACAAATGTCACAAGCATCTGTCTGAAAATGCCACAAGCATCTGTCTGAAAATGCCACTCTGTTTTTTGCATCTTTTGCTGTCTTTTTTTTTTTTTGCATCAAACATTTTTGGAGTCCTTAACCTGAGGCCATGTTAGTGAATTTTGTTTCAATAAAGCCATTGCCATACCGTTACTATAACCACTCCTTTCCTTTCCTCAAGTTGTTTCATTGCTGTGGTAAATCCTCAGCTATCTGTTTATACCTGCTGGCACCCAAGGCCCAGAAACAGCCCCTCTACCTGCATCTGTCCTTGGCTGCTGCCCTTGCTGACACCCATCTGTAATCTTTTCCATGTTCTTCTTCTTTGGTTAGCCTACTTTCCTCTTTCCTTCTGGATGCCATGTTAGTGTGGGGGTAAAATTTCTGGTATGATTCATCCTCAGAACATGGCCATTCCAATTAAACTTCTTAAGAGCATTTTCTCACAAGAATAAATTTTCTCTTTCCTGTCTTCTATCCACTCCCCTTGGTCTAACATCACTAACCATCCCAACCCATTAACTCCTTAACTTCCTTCCTGGACGAACTTCTTTTTCCACTAATTTTGTTGTAGTGTTGTTAATGTTTTGAATTTGTACTAATTTTGTGTCAATTGTGTATTTTCAGAGACTCGGACGTGGTACGACGCTAGAGGATCAAGGCCGGCCAACAGATGAAGATTCCATTGTCCAGTTATGAAGACTTGCCAACATTGGCCGAAGGTCAGTAACGAGCTGCTTTTGAAGCTCTTTTGGATCCCTTATTTCTATTTATAACTTGGTGAAAGCAACATGAGTGCTTGTTTGACCTGCATAATTTCTGTGTTTTCAAGAAAATGGTTAGGCAAGCGTCAGTCCCACTGTGACGTACGGCAGCCTTCTGGTGAGCAAGGATGGACTGCAGCCAACCATTGAAGAGAGGGTAAGAATAATATTTAAAGCTGCATTAACTGTCTTGATTTCTATTGTCATTTTGACTCCATGAAGATTGCCAGCTCTCTTGATGTCTTGATTTTCTACTGTAGAGATGCAGCCCTCTAACTGCAGCTCTGAAGAGCAGACTGTCAGCTGAAAAAGCCTAAGTGCTGAGAGTTTGGTGGTCAACTGTGACAAATGCAAGGTTAGTAAGATACATTGTGCAGGCCTGGCGCTCTATTTGTTATCTCGATCTTTGTCTCTTCACTTCATTAGTCTTTGCACACATGTTTGACTCGTGTCCACTTTTGGTGTTAACAGGTCAGGATGTTCTGGTTTTCCAGAGGAAGTGGGCACTCGGACCTGCCAGAAGGAGTGCAAAGAGTTCCTGGATGAAGTGCAGCTGACCCAAGCTGTGAAGGTAAGAAGATATACCATGTGTACATCTGACACTCTGTTGGTCTCTGTTACTCTTCTGTGTTGCGAGAGTGCTACTTTGGTTTTGACCTATGTGACATCTTTGTTAACAAGTTTGGTAGGACTGGCCTGGTTGCACAGAAGAAAGAGCAGACTGTCCCCTGCCGACAGGAGTTCTGCGATGCACTGCGGCCAATCCCAGACGTGAGGGTAAGATGCAATGTGTACATTTTGCACTCTGTGCACATTCATAATGGATTTTGCACTTGTTATTATAAAAGACATCTGAACTTTGCACTGGGAGAATTTTGATAACACTATGAAATTAATGAAATATCTTGTTTTCCCTTTTTAGCAGAAGAGTAGGAGGTTTTCCCCAACCCGACGCCAACTGCAGTCATCGTAAGAAGATGCGGTAAGATTTAAACTCTACTTGTTGCAAACTTTGATGAGCTTTTACTCTTGACAATTAATGTTAATGTATCATTTTGTGACCTCTTGACTCTCAATTCAGGAAGCACAGTGAGCAGTCCCAGCCCAGCAGAGCCCAGCCAAGTAGAGCCCAGCTAGCCCAGCAGAGTGCAACAGAAGTGGAAGATAGAAGGACCCAAATCCGTCACCAGGATGCCTAATAGAGAAGATTTTGAATTTATTCTATTCTGTCTCTTTCCTGTCTTCTATCCACTCCCCTCAATCTAACATAACTAACCATCCCAACCCCTAAACTCCTTTATGTCCTTTCCGAACGAACTTCTTTTTTCACTCATTTTGTTGTAGTGTTGTTATTGTTTTGAATTTGCACTAATTTTGTGTCAGTTGTGTATTTTCAGAGACTGGGACGTGGTACGACGCTGGAGGATCAAGGCCGGCCAACAGATGAAGATTCCATTGTCCAGTTATGAAGACCGGCCCACATTGGCCGAAGGTCAGTAACAAGCTGCTTTTGAAGCTCTTTTGGATCCCTTATTTCTATTTATAACTTGATGAAAGCAACATGAGTGCTTGTTTGACCTGCCTAATTTCTGCGTTTTCAGGAGAATGGTTAGGCAAGCATCAGTCCCACTGTGACGTACGGCAGCCTTCTGGTGAGCAAGGATGGACTGCAGCCAACCATTGAAGAGAGGGTAAGAATCATATTTAAAGCTGCATTAACTGTCTTGATTTCTGTTGTCATTTTGACTCCATGAAGATTGCCAGCTCTCTTGATGCCTTGATTTTATACTGTAGAGATGCAGCCTAATGCAGCCCTCTAACTGCAGCTCTGAAGAGCAGACTGTCAGCTGAAAAAGCCTAAGTGCTGAGAGTTCGGTGGTCAACTGTGACAAACGCAAGGTTAGTAAGATACATTGTGCAGGCCTGGCGCTCTATTTGTTATCACGATCTTTGGCTCTTCACTTCATTAGTCTTTGCACAGATGTTTGACTCGTGTCCACTTTTAGTGTTAACAGGTCAGGATGTTCTGGTTTCCCAGAGGAAGTGGGCACTCGGACCTGCCAGAAGGAGTGCAAAGAGTTCCTGGATGAAGTGCGGCTGACCCAAGCTGTGAAGGTAAGAAGACATACCATGTGTACATCTGACACTCTGTTGGTCTCTGTTACTCTTCTGTGTTGCGAGAGTGCTACTTTGGTTTTGACCTATGTGACATCTTTGTTAACAGGTTTGGTAAGACTGGCCTGATTGCACAGAAGAAAGAGCAGACTGTCCCCTGCCGACAGGAGTTCTGCGACTGTGTCAGTAAGTGTGAACCTTTTATTACTCTATGCACTTGATGAATCACTTGATATGAAGTCTGCGTGATTCTTTCATGTCTTGGTTTTGCTCTGCAGAAATGGCTCAAAGTTTCTTGGTGCATACTGAGAGTGAAGCCCTATGATGTGGTGTACTTTGTTTCCCATTCAAATGCGGTGAGGAAGACTATGGCTGGCCTACAGAAGAAGAGGAACAGAAGAGGAGTAACCTACAGAAGAGGAGGACAGATAAAGAGAAGAGGACAGAAGAAGAGGAGAAGAGGAGTCCATTGCCCAGCTATGTCCAATAAACAACATTTGCAATTTGTAAGTATTAAATTGCTTGAATCGAACTTTTGGATCCCTTTTTTATTTATTTTTTTTTTTTATTCAAGGGAGTTTCTTTCTTTGTGTTATTAATGATTAGGTGTCCCTCGGTCCCACTATGATATACAACTCCATGATGAGGATTCTTGTGAGGAGGGATTGACTTAAGTCAACCATTGAAAAGAGGGTAAGACTCAAGTTTTACTACCTGTCTTGTGTGGATTTCTTTCTCAAAGATGAGGATTGTCATCTCTATTGAAATGTTTTCATGTTTTTTTCTCTTTTAGAGATGCAATGTCATGCAGCCTTCTATCTCCCTTTGAAAAATATATACTGATGGCATAGACTGCAGCCAATCCTTTGAGTTAGGGTAAGAATGAATTACATATAAATGCAAATTTTTTCATCTTGTTAGGTCATTTGATTCACTTATGTAGACTGCAACACTTCCTATTTTGTCTGCCGATGTTCATTGTGCCTTAATATGCAATTTTATGTAGCACTTATGGAAACAAAACCTAAGAATGTTATGCTCCCTGCTTTCTTAGGGACTGAGGGGTAGGGTTAAAACAAGCAAAATTATTTCAATCATTAAAAGTCTTCATCTTTACTTTAGGACTTTGAGCTATGGCATTATTGTAGCATGCATTACCCTGGTATATTCTCCCTCACTTCGTTCCTCCTAATATACCGTAAATCAATGAAGTGCTAAATGAATAAATCTCAAACATATTAAGTAGGAATGCTGCTAGTTCCTGCTTTTATTCATTTTTATACTGCTAACACATAATCATTCCTAACTATTATATATAGCCCAAATTCGTTGCACTCAATTGTATCACTATCAGCCATACTAAAATATCTATATCCTAGCGAGTGAGCTTAGGGTGCCATACCCTTTTTAATCATGTGACTTTCAATGAAACTTTTCAAACAGGCTATATAATACCATACTGAACATGATTTTAATTAAGCCGTCAACCAAATATTTAAAATTCATGGTCCTAGGGTCAGGGGTTCAACTACTATGGTAGGATTCTTTGGGTCATGTAGGGAAAGTACATTATTTCTTTGAAAATCTTTGCTCCTGGGTATAAAGCTGATGAACTAAGCTTAGTATGTGGTTATGATGAACAATGGTGCCTCTTCCAAAATTGTGAATTTCATTATCTCTGGACAGGATTCTTTATTGATACTTTATTGATATTTTTTGGTAAAAATACAAAATTTCTTTAAAAATCATTTGGGGCATCTGGGATTCAAAACAGAGTAAAAAAATTGTAATAAACATGGGTATTTTGACCAGAATTAAAAATTAAATGAATGTACTTTTTAGACTCGAGACATTTTTTCATTAGCAGAGGGAGGAACAACCTTGACTACAATATGAACTGAGGAATGTCAGCTGTCAGCTAATGTGAGAAGAATTCATGAAAGTTTTGGTGAGATATAATTTTTATACCCTGTATAATTTCTATACCATCAAAGAAAGTGAGATGATGGTTTTGAGGCTTTCCATTGTAATTAGTTTAACTAACTAACATTTTTCATTCTTTTTAGAAACATTTTTTCTATAAAGGGAACTGTGCAATACATACAAAACTGTGTCATTGTGTTCTGGATCTAAGGCCCTGCATTATTAATGAAGGATTTCTCACCTTGTATTATGGATTTGTGACCCTGTGTTCATTAAGGATCTGTGACCTTTGTTGGGAATTTGTGACCTTGTGTTGGGAATTTGTGATCATGTGTTATGTGTGAAAGATCTCTGAAAATGGTTTAGAATCTGTGATTTTGTGTGATCTGTGACCCTGTGTTAAGGATCTGTGACCTTATGTTGTGAATTTGTGACCTTGTGTTATGTGTTAAAAATCTGACATTTGTTTATCTTCTGTGACCTTGAGTGTAGAATCTGTGACCCTGTGTTAAGGAACAGTGACCATGTGTAAAGTATCTTGAACATTAGTTTCTAAAGCTTTTCTGAGTTTTGTATATAGCTATTGTCTAAATTTGATATATTCTTTTTGATGTGACATTCAGTAAACAATAAAATATAAATTTTCTTGAGTTGTATGGCTAATTTTAAGCATTCAGCCAGTAAACAATAATGTAAGTTTTACAGTGTAAAAGTAAATAAACAAAAATTATAAACCTGAGAATTTTTTAATTGCATTTTACTTGTCAATGGAGCGTATTAAAGTGAAATGACAGTGATGTCTTATTGAACTTATTAAATCTCATATAAATGATATTTATTATTATTACTTCAATATTTCATAATGAGAATAAATAAAATAGTATTACAAGTAAAAGAGTTTTTTTAATCTTTGGAGTATAGCCATCTGAGAAGATATATAGTGTAATTACCTGGTACTTTGAAACAGTGTACCTTTGAACTAAAAAAAGAAGAAGAAATGTGTCTTCTTCTTCTCAAAAGGGTCGCTCCAGTGGCACAGTGGTTAATTAGACCATCCGCTCCAGAGTTGCAAAGGAAGGAGTTGATCCTTATTGTTCGAATCCCACTGTGGGACGTAGAGAAGGTCCTTTTAAAAAGGAGTTGATTGTTATGGTTTGAATCCCACTGTGGGACGTAGGGACGGTCCTTTAGATGAGACCGTATAAATCAAATGCAGTAGGTGCTGGCATAAAAAAGATCCCTTCCTGCTCAATGACTGTAAGTGCCGAGTATAGGAAAAAATTTGCAGTTCTCTACAGGCAAAAGGTGCCGTCTCTACACAAGTGAAAAATTCTCAAGAGGGATGTTAAACAACATACAATCAATCAATCGAAAGGGGGGGGGGGGGGTGCATGGGAGTGTTTATGTTGCAGCTATTGCAGAAAAAAAAACGATAACCTCCTTATGTGCTTGTGTAAATTTTCTGAAACAACTGCACCATTAATGCTCATGCCAAAAACTAAAAAAACACTTTAATATCTACATGTAAGTTACCATTGTAACAGATAATGAAATCTTCACACCCTGGTAATTGAATGACTACCAGTATACAATATTTCCTTTTAATTCACTACATGTATAAGTACTATGGTATTAACAAATAATTTTTAAACTTCCTCTATGATTAGAATAAGAACAATAAATTATTTTTTATACTTTAATTGCTGTTTATTTACCAGCTTTATTTCATTTGCATTGATATTATCACAGTTAGAATTACAAAAGTAACATAAAATGCAAATTACTATACATGTACTTTTCAACAAATATAAACTACCCAAAACTACACATCTAATGTACATTAATGTAATTTGACACCTTGAATGCATTTTTCCTGTCCTTGAATAATGGAAAAAGGATAGGACAATGTCACAGTAAGAAACTTAAATCATCATCTGGCTGGTACTCAACTGGTTCCTTCCCCCTGAAAATTAAATTGTTTAAAAAAGTTATTGATGGCATAACACTCTCATAAGTACATGTATTAAAGTCATAAATGACACATCATTCAATAAAACATGCTTATAATGAAGTGCCAGAAACGTGTGATTTTGCTTTGTTATAATCCTAAACCATTATATCCATTAGTTTCACAATATATTTAAATCCAACGGGAATTGAAAATCACTTTGTGATAAATGTCAATTCATTATAAGGGTGTTCACTATAAGTGTGTTTTACAATTATGAGGTTTATAGGCTCCAATACTGATAACAGAATTAAGACATGCAACATGGCACAGATGACAGATGGGCATTGAGCAGCCCTTGTTCAGAAAAGCTTGTTCAGAAAAGCTCACTTGACTTTTGTTTCGGGTGAGCTAAAAAATAATAATTTTATCATAAATAACAAAAAGTTCAAAAGTGGATGATCTGTTTTACCTGACAAATAACCTAGCCCCTGTTTTGCCTTTTAGTGTTGCTTTATCTCCTTCTACCAGCAGTATACAACCCTCCCTCAGACCCTATCAAAAGTAAAGCTGAAATGAGCTTAGCTTCAAAATACTGTAAAGATTAACATGTATCATTAAAAAGTGTACAATATAACAAATGAAAAAAAAAATCAGCTTAGCTTCAAAATACATATAAGCAGAAATTTTAGCTAGGATTCAATTTTGGCATTTTTAGGGAGAGTGTTGAGATTGCTCTAGAAATAAATATTGCTAACAATTTATACCGTACTAGAGTATACTGTTATCTTCCTATATGCACCATAAAACTGCTAAAATTACTTCTTGCTAAAATTTAATACAATTAATGTACTGATTTTTAAGGACAATTCAATTAATTTGCTTTTCCCTAAAATTTCCACTTACATGGTATAAATCCATAGTTATTTTTATGCAAGATACAATTTTTTCTCCCAGTTGAAGCAAATCCTTACTTTACTGTAAAGATATTGGTTATCAAAAACATAATAGTTGAGAATCTTGAGTTTAGAAAGTATTTACTGACCAGAACTGGTGGACAGGTTTCATACTCATGGTACTGCTTGATTCTGGCCTCCCTGGTTTCCTGCATAAAAGAAATTTCCAAATGAATGTACCTGTATATTTAACTTTAAAAAAGAGATTTTTATGCCCCGCCATGAATATGGCCAGGGCATATAGTGTTTGTCATGTCCGTCTTCCATCCTTCTGTCCTTCCGTCACACTTTGTGTTTAGCTCTGTTCAAAGCTAAGTTTCAAAGAAACTATCCAAGATATTTTCATCAAACTTCATATGCTGATAGATATTGATGAGAGCTATGCAACTGCATCATCATTTTTTGACCTTGACCTTTCCTTTGACCTTGACCTCACTTTTCTTAAATTAGTGTTTAGCTCAGTTTTAAACATACCATTCAAGATGGTGTTATCAAACTTCACATGTTGATACAAACTTGCATGGATGATGCATCTCAGGATGAACAATACCAGACTTGCTTCGGATGTACATTTTCCAGATGAGTGACCAGGTTAAAGTTTTTGGAGCAGGTCCATTCCTAAGGAACTATAAGGCCTACTTGGACCAAACTTGCAAGGATGATGCATCTAAGGATGGACACTACCAGACTTGCTTCGGATGCTGGATCTGACCTATATTTTCATTCCAAAGTAACTATAAGCCCTGCTTGAACCAAACTTGCATGGATGATGCATCTAGGGACCTCACTTTAATGAAATTAGTGTCAAACTTCATATGCTGATACATACTAATGTAAGCAATTCAGCTGCATCACTATTTAAGATATTCTGATCAAATTTTATACACAAACAAATTTTCATGTTGCTTTACTAATATATCCTCAAGGGGCATTCATGTCCTATGGACATATTTCTAGTATATCATGCATTACCACTTCTGATGTCCCTTATATTATTCTAGAGCAGATAGTATAATGCTCATATTGTGTGTTTATTTGCTTTTTTTATCCAATTTGTTAAGCATTCTTCTATTTTTTAAAGCATCATTAAAAGTTTCTTAGTGCAAATAAGTTTACCAGGTAGATCAACCAGGAATCTGTGTATATCTTTAACCATTTTTGTAATAAAATGACAGCTCCTGATTACAAAAGCCATATAACTAGATGTAATATGTGCCCATTTCATTTTACATATATAGTACATATACAGTGCATACCCCCATGTGTTTACTGCTGGGATCCGGGTCCAGGTAATGAGGGTTTATGTTAAAGGGCACAAGTCCGATGGCACCAAACGAAGGCGGGTACACTATGGGCATGTCATTAGTGGTGTTGATACTACGTGTTGCCACATTAGTCCCAGCACTGGAGCCAATGTAAGGCACATTCTCCTACAAGATAAATTGCATCATTTTAATGGCGTGTTTCCTTGAATGTGACATTAAAGAGGCAAATTTTGGGGAAATAGTTTTTCCTTTAATTTTGAAAGTCATACATGTATCATTCCACATTTCTACGAGAAAATTAGATTTTTTGATAATGTTCAGGTAATGGAATTTCGGAAATACACTTTTATTCCCCAGTGTTTTACTGGTTAGGGGTTTATTGCTTTAGGAATACCCTGATGTTACCTTTGTTACTCTTTCTCTGATCACCTCCACAATCTTTTCATCATACAAAGTCTTTAGCAGCCTGAAGGTATTCCCTCCACCTATGAAAAGAGAAATCCTTTTAACAATCCAAAATCTCCAAGGTTTTCAGAATCAAATATTACACAAAAATCTAATTATTTCTCATTAAAATTTACCTATGAATATGGCTTGGGCAGACTTAACTGCATCTACAGCATTTTTGTGTTCATGAATTCCATCAAGGTCATATCCTTCAAATACAAAAGACAAAAATATAGAAACTGTATCATTTCAGCTAGAACTAAAAAAAAATAAAGCTTTTAAAACATTACATTTTTATTAATCATTTAACTGAAGCTTATAAAGGTACAATATAAAATACAGTGTATCTGTTACCCATCTCATTGAATGCTGTCTTTGCAATTTTGGTGTATCCATCTCTGTCATGTAGTGCATATGGAACAAACAAAACCTTCTGAACAGAACTGTAAAAGGAGAAAATGCAGAATTATCTGTTGAGAATAAACTTGACCAGAAAAGGATTCAAATCTAGGCCCTCTGAATCACTAGTCAGGTGCTCTACCAGCTAAGCTATCTGATCAAACTTTCCTGGTTGACACACTAATCCCTCCTTAAAGATCTTCCCCTCCCTCAGACTCCTCAAAACACCAACCAGGCTCATCCATGTCAGGTCTTTCACTTGTCACTTAGGCATAGAGGCACCAAATTATCTTTCACTGAGAGGAGAAAATGTGACAATTCAGATCCTGGTACCTAGATCCCTGGGTGACTAGTCAGCTGCTCAACCAGGCTCAACCAAATGGCTAACGGCAACTGAATCTGCTGTAACCCACACATGTAACATTGATGGGGAAATTTTGGAAAGCCCCAGCATGATTCAACCCCCCTATCCCCACCTCTCCCAAAACTATAGACAGGTACTCCAACAACTCAGCTATATCTGGCACCAGTGATCAAAATTGCTTGAGCACTATGTTTGGCTAGCTGTCATATCAAACTGTGAAGGGGGAAAACTCTGACATAATCTTAACATTCATTTCCTGGATTTTGAGCTGTACCAAACAGGCATGGCAATGGCAGATAGTAAACCTGAGCATTGTTTTGAAAAAAAAAGTCAAACTACTTTTCTTTATGAGAAAAGAACAACTGCAATTAAATTACGACAACAAGTGAAATATTCTTTTACTTTTTACCTGTTTGATATTATCAATTATAATACTGTACCATCATCTAAAACAAGATGTGTTTGTTGAGTGAGTGATGCCCCTGACTGATGCCCCTATATGGCAGCTTATGGTAAGGGTTGAATTTTCTCAAATGCACGTCAAACTCCAAAGGTCAAGGTCAAAATTATTGGTACCCAAAGAAAGGTAAATGTCATAAAAATATACTGGTGAAATATGAAAGCCTTAGTTCTACTGTTCAAAAGTTATGACCAAGGTTAAAGTTTTTAAAAAGTGGGCCAAACTCTAAGGTCAAAAGGTCCAAACTATTTATACCCACTGAAATTCTTGTCACAATGAATACACATGTAAAGTATGATCGAAAGCCCTAGCACCAACTGTTTAAAATTCATGACCTAAGTTAAAGTGTGATAACTTTTTCTAAAAGTGGGTCAAACTCCAAGGTCAAGGTCAAATTGGTGGTACCCAAGGAAAGGTCTTGTCACAAGGTATACATCTGTGAAATATGAAAGCCATAGGCCCACCCACTCAAATATTAAAGTTTTTTTTCGGACAGACAGACAGGTAGACAGACAGGTCAAAAGCTTTACATTGTGTATATATAGGCCTACCCCCGAATCTTCGATTACGGGGGCATAAAACGATAAGATCGATATGGCATCACATGGTAGACCTACAACGATTAATCTACACGCCCCCCTTTTCATTTACAGAGCTAACTTTAATTTGGTAAAGAAATAAAAATGTTTTAAGTTTTCAACAGACAGATGTTTAACTTACTTGGACAGAAAACTTTTAATCTGGTCCTTACAGTGATCTAGATAACCGCCTCCGTGAAGCGTTGAATTGGAAATCAAAAGCAAACGCCTCATGACTGTAAATTGAAAGTGAAAGTACCGGTAGGTAAAACCAAGAGAGGCCCATGGGCCACATCGCTCCACAGGGGCGTGTCAGGAAATATTTATCTTCTTTTAATATAGTTACCCCTACTATAAAAATTACACAAGTATTTTATAGTAGAGGTTACTATATTAAAAGAAGATAAATATTTCGTGACAAGCCCCTGTGATCGCTCACTTGAGCACATGGGCTAGTTAAAAAACACAAATCAGCTCAGAAAAGTTGACTTTACTTGTTTGGGTGAAAGGGGGGAGGGGGATGGGGTGAAATTTTTTTTATTACCTGAGAATGTCACTATATCAATAAAGCATACATGTATAATTTTTGCAATATTTTGAGAAGAAGAGTTTATATATATATTATATTTCTATATAAAAATTTGATTGCCCTTTATGGCCCCACCTTTCCCCCAAGGGTCATGATATGAACAAAATTAGATTAACTCTAAGTAATAGTTAGATCATATTAAGTAAAATTTTAGTGGTTAAGCCCTTCTTAACCACTAAAATTTTACTTAATATGATCTAACTTACTTAGAACCTATTTTTCATTGGCTAATAAGTCAGCGCGCGGAGTTACCATGGTTATTGCATAGACATAAAATCTTAACAATTAAGTGATCAACTTAATGGAAAATTTAGCAGTTGCTGATTGGAGGAAAAAGTGGATTAGGTTCTAACTGAGGATGTTTCCATATTAATATCACAAATCATAGCTTTGCTGATCTTGAGAAGAAGATTTTTAAATGATTTTCCCTATGCATTCCTATGTAAAACTTTGATCAGCCATTGTGGCCCCGCCCTATCCTCGGAGGTCTTGATTTGAACAAACTTGAATCTACACTACATGTACCACATGATGCTTCCACATGAGTGTCATCTATCCTCATCCAATGGTTTTGGAGAAAAAGATTTTAAAAGATTTTTCCTGTAAAACTTTGTCAGCCCCGGGGGTCATGATTTGAACAAACTTGAATTTACACTACATGAGGGTGCTTCCACATGAAATTCATCTTTCCTGGTCCAATGGTTCAGGAGAAGAAGAGTTTTTTTTTTAAATGTCCACATATATATATTTCTATGTTAAAATTTGATCATTCATTATGGCCCCGCCATATCCCCGGGGGTCATGATTTGAATAAACTTGAATATACACTACCTGGGGATGCTTCCACATGAGTGTCGTCTTTCCTGGCCCAGTGCTTCTGGAGAAGAAGATATAAAAAAAATCCTATATATGTATTTCTATGTAAAACTTTGAGCAGACATTATGGATCAGCCCTACCCCGGGGGTCATGGTCTGAACAAACTTGAATCTACACTACCTGAGGATACTTCCAATTGGGTTTCATCTTTCCTGGGCCTCGTAATAAGCAGATTTACTTTTGTATTCATATGAAGCAGAATTCATTTAGGGCGCTTTACAGCGAAATACGAAATGGCGGTTAAATTTTCAATAGCCTGCTGGATAGCTCAATAGGGTATTTAATTTGGTCTACCAAGTATCACATTAGGTTTGAATCTAGGTCACAAGGTTACTCAGGTGTATCATTGGTTTTTACAGGTAAATGTGAGTTGATTTCAATGTTGTATGAAGCCACATGTATGTGCCAAAGTGTTATACAGTAAATACATGCAATACTTTTCTTTAATTGCACATACTTTTTGCAGAATTAGTGAATGACAGCCCCCCCCCCCCCCCTTTTCCATTCTTACAAAAGGTATTGTTAACAAAGTCAGGATAAAGTTAGCTCCTCACTTTTCCCACTTTATGGATTATACATAAACAGGCACATAAACTGAATAATATCATAAATACTTCGAATGATATAAATAGCACATGTAAAATGTATTAAATTAATTATGATGAACATTTCTACACCCATCAAATTTCTCTATTCATATCTGTTACTCTCTGAATAACTGAAATTTGAATTGATAAAGGGCTTGTTTTACAAAAGAAATTATGGATAAGACTAGGTACTCTTGCTATTTATTCTATTCTTTATATATTCAATTCTTATTTTATTCTTTCATATTTTAAAAAATAACTAAGTAATAGTTATATTTATTAAGTAAAATTTTAGTGGTTAAGAATAGAGGCAAATATTAAAGGCATATCATAATTAGAGAATTCTTCACTGCTATGAGAGTTAAAAACTTTTAGTTATATATATTAATTATTTTTAAACCTATATTAATAATTCTAGCAAAACTATAAAATCAAAAATCATGGATGATGAGATTTTAACGTACAACAAATAGTGTACTCAAATGTATTTGAATGCTGCATTAAGCAATGTTAAGCAGTTTAATCTAAAACATGGGTGCTGGTGCTATTGTTTACTAACATTTGTCTAAAAGAGAAATTTTACCCTGTAATATGAAATTACTGTTATGTTAATTATGAAAATAGATTACAATGGGTTTTTATAATGGAAGTGACAAGACTTGATAGCAATTAGAAGTGTGCAGAATATATTCATTATTGAAGCGCTGGAATACAATTTTACTGAAAAAAATATTTCAATTAAAGAAAAGTATTGCATGTATTACAGCATAAAACTTAAGCACATACATGTGGCTTCATACAACATTGAAATCAACTCACATTTACCTGTAAAAACCAATGATACACCTGAGTAACCTTGTGACCTAGATTCAAACCTAATGTGATACTTGGTAGACCAAATTAAATACCCTATTGAGCTATCCAGCAGGCTATTGAAAATTTAACTGCCATTTCGTATTTCGCTGTAATAGTGTGACAGGTCGGCAGAGGATGTTTCTCCTCCCTGGTATACCAGATTCCACCTTTGATATTTTATACGCTGTTCGTTATCTAAATAATTCCATCAAGCCTAAAATGTCTCAGCCACAGAAATCACAATCTTTGTACGTCCCTTTGTGTGCTCTTGTGCATGTATAAATATTAAATATTGCATCATTTTTATCATCATCATCTGTCTCTCTCTCTTCTGAAACTTTGTGTAGATCTTCGTCCAAAGTTTATATTAAGAACAAAATTATAAATATTGCGTTTATTATTTTTATTCTCAACAACAAAAAAGACACAACAAATGTACATTTTGTTATCTTAAACAACCTTAATTACAAAACACAAGGTCAAATGCCAAGCAAAAATTAATGTCCCCATGTATGAGAGTCTCTCTTACTATAGGAATGATATGCTGCAAAAAATGCGCATTCCATAAAATTGTAGTTTAAAAGCTGCAGTTAAAACTGCCATTATTAAAAAAATCTATAAAAAAAAGTTTGATTTCTTCGATAATTATAAAATGTGGTTATAAATAAGCATTGTGTCTAATGTATGGTAAAATATCTACCTCTAAAATGGCACCAATGAGACGAAGTATTGCAATATCTGTAATACTATAGGTGGTGAAAACCGAACACCAGTCCGATGACTAGATTATGCAATCATGTGAGCATCAATTAAAACTATTCCCTGTTTACAAATACACCATCCTTAAAAATAACGTGTACGTATAATTCGTGTCTAAAGCAAATTAAAGGACTAGTCCATGAACACAACACAAAAAGCAAAACAAGTCCAATCGTTCAATAACCAATAAATCGATGATTTTGATGCAAAAAAATCCTACTCTACATAAAAAAAAAATCTGCGATACGACTTTATTCTGGATTAGGCAGTAAACTCATCAAGGCAGTGCTTTGAACAAAGACGAGGATAAACGTATTAGGGACTCAGGCGAAGAGACAAAAGTTTTAGTATAAATCATTGTAAACACAAAAGCGCAATGAATAAAAATAAATAAATCACAACACGATTTCAATTTGTACAAACCCAATCTGAGCATAGAAAACATGATAAAACCATGTATAATTTCTTCTCTGAAAGAAATGCCGATTGTGTGTCAAGTGGACCCATTTACATTGAATTTGATTTTCACTTGTAAACCATGAAATTTATTAACCCGGTCTGGATGAAATCGCCTGCACCATTCCTTTTTGCAGGACGGCCCCGTTTTCTTCCCTAAGCACTGCGGGCCACACCAGATAATCCACAACATCGCCCTCAATGGTGTAAAAGTTGTATTTTTCCCTATCTACGGGGGTTCCGTGTCTGACTTTGAACTGTAAATACATAGGCGGATCTTGGACTACCATTTCCCAGCTGATGGCCAGACATTTTGTGATGTAGGGGGCGATATCCTTCACTTCCTTCATATGGAAACTCCTGAGGTGTCGGGACTTCTGGAAATCTAAGACACTTAGGAAGTCCTAAAAAATAATAACACGACATAATATAAATTAAAATGACTAATTTAACAATGCTTAAGATGTGCTAAATTAAAGGATCGCGCAATATTTTCATTTTTAAAAAGTGCAATGCATTCTTACATCGTACAAACTGTCTAGAAAATCTCGGGATGGATCTTTCCGGAACTGGACAATCTGTTGACGAAGACTTGGCGGTATGTTCTCTGGCGTTGACTGTTTCTGTATAATAATATTCTTACATAAATTCTAAAATTAGATATCGTAAAATATAGAAAACAACACTAAATCTGCAAACAAAACAAACTGAAGACAGATAAAATGAAAAACAGAATTGCGCGGGCTTGTTACTTACGGATGATGGAGATCGTCTGCTGATGCTGTTACGTCCGTGTGCGACGGAAGGATTGGTCAACAGCGAGTACACCGAATCCAATTGTTGTCTGGCTGTTCTGCGACAATGGAGGTATGCTTCCTGGAAAACAAAATCATAAAAATACTTAGCAACAATCCTAAATACGTCACAAGAAATTCACAGTTAAAAAAGATCATGCGTACTGAGAAAATCAGAATTTCAAGGAAATGTGGAACTTACGGTGCAGAAGTCCATTAGTATTTGTAACGATTTCTTTTCCTCTCTTTTGAATACTGTTGTAAGTTTTTCGTAGGCTTCCCGCCAAAGGCCACCATAGAGTTCCACAGAGAACCGCTCTGAGATTTTGCGAAGACGATCTATGTCGTCTGCGAGAGGGGCTTGGGGATGGAGGGAGGAGGCACCATTCACTTTCACTGGACTGGTACCATTGTGTTTCTTACTTTCTTGTTCATGTAACCTGTAAATATTATTTTTATCAGTATTTATACCTATATTTATAAAAATCCAAACTGCTTAATTTTTTTTGTCCGTTTTTGAAGTCAGATTCGGCATGATGACCAAATTTCTTAAAATAGCAAATCAGTTAAATTTATTTCTAATTTTGAAGCAACCTGTTCAAACCCTCTGCATAGAGTTAATTATTTTTCACAACTCTCCGCAAGAAACTATTTTCAATTCGAAAGTATTTACCTTTTCATAAGTTCCTCGTTGAGTTTTTTGGCTTCCCGGAGTTTCTTCTCCGCTTTGTTACAGGCTTCTTCTTTTTCTTTGATCAATGAAGTCATCGTCTGAATTTTAATTCCCTGGACTTTAATTTCCTCGTTCAGAGTTGAATGTTTCCTTATGGAATTTTCTAACTCTGCTTCTTTTTCACCGTGAGCAACGGACAATTCGTCCATCTTCCGCTTCAAGTTTTCAACTTCTGTCATGAGCAACGATAGCTGTGTTGACATTTGAGCCTTCTCTTTTTCCACTCGGACTAAATTTGTCTTCTTTCCTTCTAGTTCTATTTCTAGTTTCTTTATTTTACTCAATAAGATAGTGTTTTCCTTTTTTGTTTTGTCCAAAGCAAGGGATTCTTCATTATGAAGATCTTCCAGGTTGTCTTTGTCAACTTCCAGACGAATGATTCGTAATTCTAGTTCATCTATATGGTGTCTTAGCGTTGTTACGTCTTTGTTGACCAGTTTCTGGGATTCGTCCAAGCTGTCTATCCGCGGAGTTATATCCTCTTCGTTTGGCGTAACCTTTGTGGACTCAATATTGTCAATTCTAGGGGCAAGATTACAGCACAACTTACTGATTTCCTCAAATGACTCTAAAATTTGCTGTCTCTCTTTGAGAGCAAGTCCTAATCTTTCTTCCACCTCATCTTTAAACTTATCACCTTCTTTTGACACAGATTTCTTCAACTTTTCATATTCAGCATTTGTTTCTTTTTCTTTTGCTTGAAGTTGTTTGTAAGAATCTTCCAAACTTTTGATTTTCTCTTCTAATTGTGATTTTTCTTTTGATATATTTTTTAGTTTCTCATTCTCTGATACGTTTTCTCTGAGTTTGATATTTTCTGTTCTGAGTTGTGCAATCTCGGATTTCAGTTTCTCTATCTGTTCCTCTGCTGCTTTGTCTACGACCTCTCCACCTTTTTCCACCATGGGAGCCTTCATCTCCACGTTGGGTGCCTTCATATCCACGGTGGGTGCCTTCGTCTCCACGGTCGACACTTTCTTTTCAACCTCATCTGTCACGGTGACAATTGTAATTTGAGGCTTCTGTTCAATTTCCTTTTCAGCTTCTTTATCCTTCTCTTGTGGTGAATTAACTTCTGTTTCTTTTATTTCTGTTTTGGTTTCTTCGTTTTCTTTAGTTTTATCCTTCCGATCCTGTAGTTTAATTTCCAGTTCTTTAATCAAAGGACTTTTAGGCTCCTCAGGCGGGGGTACCTCCACCTCTTCTTTCTCTTCTTTATGAACATCTCCATTTAACTGTATACGAAAGAAATCACCAAAACTCAACTATACTTGTGACACTAGAATATTTTCACATGTTTTGATTTAGCATACGTTTCGCTTTTCAAATTATTAAAATACTAGCAATTGTTAAATCGATATTTATGTGTATATTTTCACTCCGTGTTAATAAAGTATGATAATAAACAGTTTTCACTGCCGGTAAAAAAGTGAAAGCACATTTTGTTGTGGCATATTGAATATAACCCCTACAGTGCAACACGTTGTTAATAAAGCACACAAGTTGTTAATTAGGTAATTACCTGAGCTTTATCTGGAACACTTTCTTCCAATGGCGGTTTTCTCTCATCCTCGATGGGAACTGGAACCTGTTCTTTCCTTTTGGCGTTTTTCTGCAATAAAACGGGAAAATATTTTTGAATTAATAACCGGTCCCCTGAGATCGTTGGGTCATGGTCATGAAGTGTGCAATAAGACGGATCTCCTGCGAAGATTATCCAGCTGTTAAATGTTTGCTAAATGTTTTGTTTTAAAGCGTTTAACACGTTTTGAAAAGATTTTACGGTTTGTGAACAGCCAGGTTAATCTGGATTATTCCGTTGTAGCTATCAAATAGCCATATCATCAGTAATTTTCAAACATTAATTAAGGTTTAATAGTGTTTTTTAATGTGAATGTTAAGTCTTCTGTGTAAGTGTCTACGTGTGACCTTTTCCGATATACGTTTGAAAACATCATTAATTCGACATTAACACATTTGACAGATCGATATTCTTAATTTTGTCTACGTTCACACAAAGAAGCTGGGAAAAAACGGAATCGATTTTGACATCCAACCAAAATGACCAATTTTCTCCATTTATGTAAATCGCTGATTCAGTTTACATAATGTTTTGTACCATAATTATTTTGCCTGAATTTGATTATGGTGTAATTTTGGATCAAAGATGTAAATGTCTGAATTGCTGAAATAATCTGATTTTGCATAATACTAGTATTTTTACTAATATAAACCGCATAATAAATGCATATGCATACGATATTGTGGTTTTTCATTTATTTACCAGTAACATTATTATTTCTATTCCCCGAATGTTATGTTGAATAAAATCCATAAATTATTTCCTGCATTGGGAAAAATTAAACTTAACTACACGCAACAGGAAATATGAATGGTGAAAGAAATTTAAGAACGTCCCGCAATTCATATTTCTTTAATAACTCGGCCAGTTTCTTGTTATCTTAAAAATGCTTATACACATGTAACTACAGTGATGTTTTAAACAACATTGTGAAATACTTAATTACCATATCATAAATCGCACACAAACATGCACGTTTTATTTATACAGTTAAACAAAGAAAATCAATGCAAAGCGAGGCAATAAAAGAAGCTATTGACAATCACATCTCTCAGTATAATTCCCAAAAATGATTAAAGTAAGACTAAATTATTGCTTACCGATCTATCTTTGGGTTCCTTATTCCCTCTTTTAACCTTGCTTTTCTTCCCAAAACATGAAAACAGGCTAGACATGGCTGCTTCACGACTCGACTTCCCTAGATCGATTTACAAAGGATGTTCGGGTAATCAGATCTTTCCTTGATCCGGGGGTTAATCTTATCTATCCGTGATAAGACTGTATTTGTTAATCACACGGACACATCCACCCGTTAATCGGTCAAAATCCCCCACATGTTCGCATCAGTATTGCACATAGCCACTGTTTATTAATATAAATAATGAATTATGCAGGGTCGGGGAGGAGTTATTATTTCGGTCGGTATATGCACGATAATGGTGAATTCTACACTAACTTCAAAATTTTGTGTTTTTGGTATAAAAACAGTGTTGCACAGGGGGAAATATAAATTCTCAGTGCTGGTTAGTTCATTGACAGTGTCTGACAGGTTGAGTTATTTACTCTTTATATATACAACGGTTTCTACAGTTGAGTATACTCTATCTCTCTGTACTGACACATGGCCACTCATGTGTAATTAAGAGCTGACTATGTACACATGTCAATTTCGGTGATTACACATAAATGTGCTAATTATTGTGACATGCTGAGTACAGTTATATGGGCCTATAATTGCACCATTTCATTTTTTTATGATATTACTTTTTATTTTATAAAATTACCCGTGATAATAATGAGATAATAATTAGATAGGCGAATCTTTTTTTTACACATGCAGTAAAACACATTACTTCTGTTCAATTGAATAATAGAATATTTTTTTCTTTATATAAAAGATAATGTACTGAGGGTATACAGATAATCATTTGTTAGAGTTTGTATAATCAAAATGGACGACCCCCTTCATCTTTGCAATAAAAAAACATTTAATCTTTTTTTTTTTTTAAATTTAAACAGTTGTGAAAAAATGCCGTTTACATTTATCAAGGAAAAAGATATACTGAATTTGTAATAAATGTGGCGGGAAAACATAACCAGTCCCGTGCTTAATTGTGATTTACCGTAATGTAGTATCACTGCCGTTCTGGTGTAATTTCAGAGAGAGAGAGAGAGAGAGAGAGAGAGAGAAAGAGAGAGATGCTCCCTGGTTCATCAATAAAAAGAGCAGGATGCATATTAAGAAAAAAAATTGATCAGTAATTACTTCAATGGCTTGTATGACAAGGATTTTTAAAAATTGATTTGAGAGAGTGTCTGGGAGCTGTAGCCCTCCCCATAGCAAGAGTTTACTTTTCACTCAGTACAGGCACGTAGTATCGGGGGAGGGGGGGGGGGGGTAGCTGCAACCCTACTTTTCAGACATAAGTTAATTCTTACTAGGGCCTATAAAAATGTTCATGAATGTCCGTTTGCCCCCTTCCCCGCTTTTTGTTGCTGTATTATCAAGTGGTTGCAGTATTGTCAACATGGTCAAGTGTGTGAGTAAAAAAAAAGAAAAACAGCTGCTGAAAGAAGTTGGATCTTACAGCGAAATACGAAATGGCGGTTAAATTTTCAATAGCCTGCTGGATAGCTCAATAGGGTATTTAATTTGGTCTACCAAGTATCACATTAGGTTTGAATCTAGGTCACAAGGTTACTCAGGTGTATCATTGGTTTTTACAGGTAAATGTGAGTTGATTTCAATGTTGTATGAAGCCACATGTATGTGCCAAAGTGTTATACAGTAAATACATGCAATACTTTTCTTTAATTGCACATACTTTTTGCAGAATTAGTGAATGACAGCCCCCCCCCCCTTTTCCATTCTTACAAAAGGTATTGTTAACAAAGTCAGGATAAAGTTAGCTCCTCACTTTTCCCACTTTATGGATTATACATAAACAGGCACATAAACTGAATAATATCATAAATACTTCGAATGATATAAATAGCACATGTAAAATGTATTAAATTAATTATGATGAACATTTCTACACCCATCAAATTTCTCTATTCATATCTGTTACTCTCTGAATAACTGAAATTTGAATTGATAAAGGGCTTGTTTTACAAAAGAAATTATGGATAAGACTAGGTACTCTTGCTATTTATTCTATTCTTTACCATATTCAATTCTTATTGTATTAATTCTTTCATATTTAAAAAAAATAACATAGAGGCAAATATTAAAAGCATCACAATTAGAGAATTCTTCACTGCTATGAGAGTTAAAAACTTTAAATTTATATATATTAATTATTTTTAAACCTATATTAATAAATCTAGCAAAACTATAAAATAAAAAATCATGGATGATGAGATTTTGACGTACAACAAATAGTGTACTCAAATGTATTTGAATGCTGCATTAAGCAATGTTAAGCAGTTTAATCTAAAACATGGGTGCTGGTGCTATTGTTTACTAACATTTGTCTAAAAGAGAAATTTTACCCTGTAATATGAAATTACTGTTATGTTAATTATGAAAATAGATTACAATGGGTTTTTATAATGGAAGTGACAAGACTTGATAGCAATTAGAAGTGTGCAGAATATATTCATTATTGAAGCGCTGGAATACAATTTTACTGAAAAAAATATTTCAATTAAAGAAAAGTATTGCATGTATTACAGCATAAAACTTAAGCACATACATGTGGCTTCATACAACATTGAAATCAACTCACATTTACCTGTAAAAACCAATGATACACCTGAGTAACCTTGTGACCTAGATTCAAACCTAATGTGATACTTGGTAGACCAAATTAAATACCCTATTGAGCTATCCAGCAGGCTATTGAAAATTTAACTGCCATTTCGTATTTCGCTGTAACACTCTCTCCCACCCACGGAATAGGATTTCGAGTCTGAGCATTTTTTTTTTGCTTGCTTGTTTGTCAAGTAAGTTGATCCCCTTCGGCCCCTCTTCCTTTCAAAAACGATGCTTCGACACAGGATTAGACGGCATTAGCATGATCATTTTTATTTGTTCTTTTTTTTTTTGCATTGTGGAAGTCATGTAAATTAAATGTATATTTGATTTGATCTTCAAAATCTAAAAACATAATTTAATTTAAAAAAACATGATGAACGAAGAACTTTGTTAGCTTCAAAATTTACCCGCTTGAAAATCTCCTTACAGGGGGTCGCACCGGCTTAAAAAATTAATAAATTAGACCTAGATAAATGCTATTATTGAATACAAATCAAATGGGTGAAATAAAATTAAAGATTTTAGAACCCTCTGCTACTGTGTAAACGGACAGCATTTTCACGGAATTTCTCAAGTTATCCGACGGATTTTAACATTTAGAAAACTAAAATGGCGTCGATATATTGAATTTGATGTTTTCCAAATTAAAAATATATCTTTTATACCATTCTTTTCAGCTTAATGTCATTCTGCAGATTAAAAATGTAAGTAAAATAACTTTTTTGTCATCTAAATTTGATCATGAATGACAGCAAATATCTAAACTTAGTGTTTAACTTAATATTACAATCGGTGTAAACTTCAACCTGTCAAGTGGGCTGTTGAAAACTTGAAGTGAAGCAAAAGTATGTTTGCACTATTTGAAAAAAGTATAAGATATTCTTGTTTCCCCTTTTCAGGTGAAATAAGCTGTTAAGCAGACCAATGCCTATCAACAATACTATCCTTGGAATCTCCATTATGCAGATATCTTACAGTTACCCATTTAATTGATTCAAGTTAAGAGACTTTATTTCACCAAGATGGACAGTGAAGACGAACATGAACCCTCTGACCATACCATGTCTTCACTGACTGGATTTCTCTTTGGAAACATCGATGAAAAGGGTGATCTGACAGAAGATTTTCTGGATGAGGTATTTAATGTTGTTCTTTGTAATAATTTTACAGATCATGTATTTTTATGCTTCTTATTTTGTTCCCCAAGTGTTCACAACTGGTGTAAATCTTAAGTTCAGAATTCTACATTGATAGTGCATTGGAATACATGAGAGCATTTTAGAATAAAGATATTCATTTATAACTTCTTAATATGAAGATGTAGAGTAGATGCATGTTAAATTACATTTATTCAGGAATCTAAAAGACATTTGGGCTCCCTGAGTTCCCTTGGTGGTATAGGTGTGATGGTCAAAGAGATTACTGAGGTTCAGGGAGAAGATGAGCAAGATGACTATGAGAATGTATCAGGTAGTTTTCAACCCTATTTTCTTATTGTGATATTAACCTTTTACCAAAATTGAATTTGCACACCCAATTATTTGATTAATAGTATTTAAAGTTTATTCAATGAATTTTATTTTGTTAAACAGAGGACTTCACTGCCAAGTCACCATCTGCAATAGATTATTCAGACATCAATGAAACTGTGGATGAAGAGACAGAGAGAGTGAAGGAAGCTATGCAAAGTCTTACATTGCCTATGAAAGGTGGTTTTTCCTCCAAAACATTTATAAAAATATTTTTGAAATAACTTTTGAATAAGAAAGTAACTTCATATTCCTTTTCTCATAGCATAGAACTCCAAAATGCACCTGCAAGATGTATTATTTGATAAAGTTTTCTCCTATTTATGAATGCATTTTCAGGATGTATTTCCTATATTATTTCAGAATGTCAAATACTTTCTTTTATTGAAAGTGTCATCATTTATAAAGGATTGTGATTCAATGAAAATGTTTTACATATTGTTAAACTGAGGCTACATAACAATGTTATAACTATATATATTTTTCTTTGTTTAAAAAAGTCGGTGCAGAAGAGGATGATTATGATGATGATGAGAAAGACGTCAAATTAATGCCACCTCCATCCTGGGTCCCCAAGCCTCCCAAAACAGATGACGGCACTAGTAAACTGTCTCCTTCAAAGAGCAGCCCTGATAAGGCCAAGGCCACCACCCCACTGGCTGCTATGTTACCAGAGGAACTCAGTGATATTGATGTCACTGCACTGTTTCCTGAATTCAGGCATGGGCAGGTGTGTATTATGGGCAAAATTCGATACATCTGGATAACTATCAACATTTACATCATAATTCATTTTAGAACTATTCAGAAAAAAATAAATTGTAGACTTTAGTTTACAATTGAATTGACTATTCATACAATGACTGAGCTTTCAGTCCTGAAATAAATATTATTTTGGTCAATTTATTTGTTTACAGGTATTGAGGTTTTCCAGGCTATTCAAGCCACAATATGTACATCACTTGTATAAAAGAAAGAAGAAGAAGAAACCATCAGATGAAGAAAAGGACAATCAAAAAGAGTTATCCGAGGAGGGTTAGTTATCACATTGTTTTCTCCTCATCATATTATTTGTTTCCCTATTTGTGCTGTATCACGAT